CCTGGCAAAGGGCTCCATCCACCCACCTGCCCTGAACCCACACGGGGCAGTTTCACCACTCCTTGTTCTTTGGCCTGATTTTTCCTTTCATCTGTGCTTGTTTTCCTGTCTGTGTTTGGACACAGGAGCTGTTCCAGAGGCCGATCTTTGCCTTTCCCTTGTTTACGGAGCGTTTGCATTTCCTCGCGCTCCGGTCGGTTGGGTTCCAACCCCTCCAAGGGAATCTTTAGCAACAGGTTTCGGTGGCCACTTTCTACAAGGAAAAAAAAAAATAATGTTTGGAATATTTTCATTGTAATTAAGCTTTGGAAATATTTATAAAAATAACATCTTGGCCACAGTCATCCGTGCAGTGAAACCTCCCGGTCTGTTAGCCCGGAGCAGAGAGCGTTCCCTGGCCCTTTCCCAGGAGGGATGCTTGTTTTCCTTCCCAAAGTGTGAGCTGGGGAGGAAGCTGGGGAAGCTGAGAGGCAGGTGAGGAGGCAGCAAGGGACTTTGGCATGTTTGGACTGCAAACATCCTTCAATCCCTGCTGCCCAGCACCTGCCGGCGGTGGAAGGTTGGGCACCTGGGAGCAAAAACCCAAGATTTTTCTCTAAATATTAGATTTATTTTAATTGTTTTGCTGCCTTAAAGAAAAAAAAGCAAACAGTTATTTAGTCCCCACACACTGTGTTTTGATTATATTCTAATTTTACAGGCAAAGCCAGGATATTAAACCTACAAAAGGAGGGTGGGAGCGCAGGGACAACGCTCCGGTCACAACACTCCGGTCGCATTCCCTTACGGAGCTGCCATATGGATCGGCCTGGGTGCCTGCTAAGCTCTTAGCACGTGCAGGATTGTGTCTTTTCCCCGTGGAAAATTTCCTTGCTTCCCCTGAAGGGCAGCCCCATTCACAGGTTGGCATGGCACGGCAGAGAATTCCAGGGCGGGGGGAGCGCCGGGCCCGCGCTCCGGCTCCCGCTGCTCCCGAGAGCCGGCATTTCTTTCAGGGGCTGTAAATCCTGTTTCAAGGCTTGAGCCAAACTCCTGACTAATGACTGGGAGGTATAAACATTCCCTGTGGGCCAGGGCTCCTGCCTGCCTTCTGTGTGCTGCTGGCATCCCCTTTCCTGCCCCGGTGCCGGAGGGTGTTGGGACAGGACCTCCGGGTGCTGGTGGACATCAGGCAGGGCCTCCTGCAGCTACTCCTGGTGGTTTCTACTCTTCCAATGATTAATGCAGGTGTTTTAATTACGAACTAAGTCCTGTCTCAGTGACCCATTTCCCAGCTGGAACAGTCCCAGCCACTCTCCTTGTTCCTCTCTGGATCTGTTGTGGGCCGACAGCTCCTGTGGATTTGTGTGCATCCCGTGGCCACTGCATTTGGAGGTGCAGCTGAGCTTCCCTGGTGTTCAGGTGACTTTGATCATGAGGTTTTGGGTTGAATTCCCTCAATTCTGGGTAGGTTTGAAAGGCAGAGTTCTGACCATCCCCTGGCATAATGTGCTGTGCTGCTGGGCTTGGCAGTGGTGTGGGAATGGTTGGACTTGGTGACCTTGGAGGTGTTTTCCAACCTAAATGATTCTGTGATTCCATGATTTTATGGTGATTTGAGCTGCTACCCTGTGCCCCCTTTCCTTGGTACACCCACATCCTCATCAGCAAATCCCTCCACCCCACCAAACTTACCTGTCAATAGATATTTTTACTGTTGTGTGCGAATCGTTTTCCACTGTTTTGCTCAAATTTAAGGATTTGTTCTCTCCTCAACCTTTGAGGAGTTCCTGTCATAAATCCTTGTCCATCAAATCAACCTTTTGCCTTAGAAACACAAACCAAACTGCTGTTTAAATCCAGTGTGTCAGCTCAGATTCCCCAAATAGCTGCTGAAAGTACAGGAAAAGGCCGTGTCCGGGTCCTGGCCTAATTCGACAATTGTTGTTGGTGCCAAGTCGGTTTTGATGCCACATAATTCTCCAGGAAAGTTCAAAGAAAGCCTGTGGAAACCTTTCCTGTCAGCTGTCCCTCCTGGGTTCCTGCTTCTCTAGCATTTGTTTAGGTGACATTTGAGATAAAGGTGTTTTGGGGCTGCCCTGTGTCCCGTGGGTTGGTCTGAAACACGGACACTTAACAGGAATTACAGGTGTAAGCACTTTATCTTACAGTGCTTAAAAGGCTAAAACACAATCAGGAAAACACGGAAATTAATTAGATTATGCAAAAGGATGGAACCACTGGCCTTTTAAAGCAGGGAGAGACCTCACTGCCCAAAGGAAATGGGAAGATGTGTGTTAGGAAATTGGTGCTTTATGTGAGGTTTGGTTTGGTTTGGTTTGATTTGGTTTGGTTTGACAGATTTCTTCCCTGGTAGCCCCAGCTGCCCTCCCTGTGTGCCAGCTCAGTGGGGGCACCTTTGTTTGCAGGAAAACCCTCTTGATTGGGTATCCAGAGGAAACGATGTCCCTAATTCAGGATTTTCCCTGCCGGGGTTAAAGGATGCTCTGTGGGTGTAGGAGCAGCAGGTTTGAGAGCTCTTTGCTGCTGTCACCCCCTGAAACACAGAGAGGGGTTTGCTTCTCCCCCCAGACCTGGGGGGGTGTGAGGACCTGTCCCCCCTGTCCCTGTCCCAGCAGCTCAGGCTGGGAAAATGTCCTTTCCAGCCCTCCTGAAATACAGACATCACGGTGGCAGCGCCGGGGGCTCATTAGCTGGGCAGAAAAGGAGGACTAATTAGCTGTGCTGTGCTCAGTGTGGCTCTGTGTGTGCTGTTCCCAGGAGCAGAGCCAGGGCTGGCTGGGATGGTTGGAGCTGCCAGGGCTGTGCTGCTGCTCCCACTGAGGGTGTTCTCCCTGCTCTGGGGGTCCCGCATTCCCCCACCACGTTTTCATCCTGTGCCCGATGCCCACCTTGTCCCCCAGCCCAGAGCACTGAGTGCCACGGCCAGTGGGCACCTCCAGGGCTGGGGACTCCAAACCTCCCTGGGCAGCCCCTTCCAATGCTTTTGTAGCCGTTTTCCCCAGAATTTTGGCCTCAGCTTCATCCCCCACTGTTGTTATTTTTGAATCCTTGGTCGATTAAACATCAGGATGGGCTCTGTCTCACCTCAGGCTTTTGGGCCTCAGAGACCTGCAGTGAGCAGGACAGTCACAAATCAGCGTGGCAAGACAACCATGTTGCCAACCCTGTCACCCTTTGAGTGTTTAGGCCACTGAAACCTCAATTCAGGAGCTTAATTTCGAGGAGGTGAGTTCTGCAAACTCTCCCCCCGGTCTCCCCGTGGCCGTTTGGATCCGTGTGGAGCCGTGTGGGTGCCCCGGGGGTGCTGTGGGATGGTGCTGTCACCCCCAGTGCTGCTGATCAAAGGCAGCATTCCACACTGGGAGTGTGAAATCCCGTTTGGGGGGCTGTGCCGGGGCTGTTCTGCTCCGCCTGCTCCCAGAGCCGCCTCGGTGTGTGCCGACAGAAGGCCGAGCATATGTTCCGAGGGGCGTCATTAGGAGCAATTGGTTGCAACCTTGGTAATGCTGGGATTTACAGTCTCCCTGTAATCTCTGGTGCCTGTCAGGGTGGAGAAGATGCTCCCAGAGGCAGCCTGCAGCCTTCTGAAGGGCTGGGGCTGGCTGATTCCAGCCGGGAATGGGGGTGCTGGTTGCACCTCGCCAGCTGGGACCTGGCGGGGGCTGGTGGTGCCACCCCCTCCACGGGCTGTTGTGGTGAAACACCATCCAAGAGATCCATTGCCATCCATGAGTGCATTTGCATTCCTTCTGGAGGCAGCTGCTCCCCTGTCCGTGCCATCACTCCCCCGGTCCTGTGGGAATTCAGTGTTGCTGCTCCCAGTTGGTGGCAGCTGGTGGTGCCAGTCGGATCCACAGCTCTGCCATTGCTTGGGGCTCCCTTTGTGTCCCCTGACTTGGGGCTGCAAAAATGAACCCTCAGGTCGTGCTGGCCACCCCTCAGAGGTTCCCAAAGAATGGAAAGGCACATGAGTCTAGGGGAAGCTGGGAGCTGGGAAGCACAGGGATGAGAATTCCCAAAGTTCTCCAGGTGTGCACCATGTCGCGTTGCGAGGGTCCCAAAATTTGGGTCTCGTAGGAATACTTCCAACAAAACTTCCAGACACCCTCCCTTGGTTCTCAGAGCTGCAGAATGCATGGGCTGGCCTTGTGTTGAAGCCCTGGAGCTGAGACATGATCCTGAAGGAACAGCAGCTCCGGGAACACACGGCTCCCAGGCAGGGAGCGTCTCCGTCGTGGGCCGGGAGTTTTTGTTGGCACTGGGACCTGTGCCGAGGCTTGGAAAGGGAGCTGATCCCACTGCTTCCCAATACACCACAGAAAGCAACTGTGTCTGAACTCCTGCTTGTGAATTTGGCTGGTTTTTGGCACATCTTCCCCGAGGTACCGCCGGCCACGGAAGTGTGTGGTGGGGACGTGGCCGATAACATCTTGGAGTTCTTGCAGATCAGAGTAATGAGGTGTGAGCGGGATAAGGATGTACCATTGCTGGGAAGAATCTGGTTTTCTTTGCCAACTCCAGTTAAAGGTCTGTCAGGGAGAGTGTGCTTTGCTGTGGGGCTGCTGCTGCTTCTCCTGTGAGAAGCTGAGTTATCCTGGAGTCAGTGATGGGCTGAGGTGCTCCCAGCAGGTTGCTCAGGGCTGGATCCTGTTTGGCCTCCAGGGATGTGGCTGCACATCCTCTCTGGGCAGCCTGTGCCAGACCTGGATCATACTTAGCATATAAAAGGGTTTTTTTTGTTTGTTTTTGTACCATTTAAGATGGAATTTGAGGTATTCCAGCCTGTGCCCGTGTCCAGGCTGGGGGGGCTGGTTGCTGCTGGTCCCGGTGCCAGTGTGGAATTAATTCTGCTGGTCATCCCAGTCATGTGCCACTGGAGAGCTTTGGCTCCTGCACGGGCTCGTTGTCATTCCAGGCCATGCTCGGCTTCAGCGGGAGCCCACGAGCTGTTTAACCTAATTCCCATCCCATTCCCGAGCTCCCGGCGTGGGAAGCTGAGGAGAGCCAGGGCTCCTTTGGACAGGGATATCTTCAGCTCTCACTGCAGTGCAGCCCAAGTGCCCCGGCCATGGAAAACCCGGAGTTGCACTCGTGGGTGCTGCTGCCCTGTGCAGGTGCAGGAGGGGGTACGGGGATAAATAAATGCCTGGAGTTATTCATTCACCTGCCTCCAGCTGAAGGGGCTACTCAGGGTGTGACAGGGGCTCAAATATTACCAGAAAAGTCTCCTTATAAATAATTTTCAGCTCTCTAAGCCCCAATCTCTCCAGTTGCTGGTTGTGCTGACAGCCAGCCCAGCTCCCTCTGCCTGGGATGATCTGCATGTGGGATTGGTGGGGTGTCTGTGCAGGGCCAGGAGTTGGATCCATGATCCTTGTGGGTCCCTCCCAACTCAGGACATTCCATGATTCTACATCATAACTTCCCTGGAACCTGGACTAGTGCTGTTCTTCAGCTGATCTTACTCTCAGCAACCACTCCCTGCTGTAAAACTACTTCCTAAACTGGGATATTTTTACTTAAATGGGCAGCAGTTTATTTTTGTCAAGGTCCTTGGGTACTCAGTGAAAAACTGAAACATAATTGAATTCCTCCTCTGTAACTATCCTCTCTAATTAATTTAGAGGTAGGTTATAGTCAGGAATTAGGACAGTTCTGCCTTAAAGGAGCTGAGGAAGAGCCGGTGTGTGGAATAGTGTTCCCATTTCTGTGCTCTGGGCTGGGTGACAGGGTGGGGATCGGTCACAGGTTGGACTCGATGATCTTGGAGGTCTTTTCCAACCTCAGTGATTCTCTAATTCCCTGATTGAGGCAGTTGAGTCCTGCCCTTGCCAGCTCCAGGAGTGCTCCAGGCAGGAGCTGGGAGTGTGTGGTGTTGCAGTGCAATTCTCCACCCCTGTTCCAGCTGCTCTGCAGTTTATAAACATTCTTCAAAGGGAGTTTTGATGAAATACAAGTTTTGTGTGTTCCCAGGCTTCCTGCACCGGGAAAGTCACGGGGTGGATGTCTTGGAGGGTGAGCAGGTGAAGTGCCTCTGAGATGAAAAGGTTCAATTAGAAATGTGTTTGAGGATAAACAAAGGGGATTGTAGTGCATGGGTTATCATCAGGTGAGAAATCCCGTGGGATTCAGGAATAAGGATGACCCCGGGATGACTGGAGCTAGAGAGAAATCTGCTGGCTGGCAGGGTGGAACAGGCCTTTAGGGAATGAGTTTTCTCCTCGTGTCCTGGCAGGACTCAGATGAGAATTGTCCTGCAGTGAGAACAGGAAAACAAAGTCAGAAGTGTTTAAACCCGTTGCAGCGCCCTGGGTTTAATTTGTGTGCAGAGTGAAACCCTGATTTAATACTCAGAGCACTTCTAGCTCTGTGTACACCGTGTGTAAAGAATGAAACCTGTATTTCATGGAATCACAGACTGAATGCCAGAAGGGTTTGGATTGGAAAGGACCTTAAAGTTCATCTTGTTCCACCTCCTGCCATGGGCAGGGACACCTTCCATTGGAGCGTTCTGCCTTCCCCTTCCCTCTCCTCTTCCTTTTCCTATCCCTTTCCCTGAATGTCTGTATGTTTAATATGCACATGAAGTGTCCAGAAATTTGGGATTCATCTTCTTACAGGCATTGAAAACAGCATCAGGACTTGCCTCATCATTTTCCAACAGACCCATTTTACATGAGTTCAGCTAAACCAGAAACTCAACTGAACTTTAGTGCTCGAGTCTCTGCACTCCCAACTTTACTCAGTGTGTGTCTGAGCCTGGTGTTAGGTCAGATATTGTCATGTGAGGTTTGGAGTGCCCAGCCCTGGAGGTGTCCCAGGAAGGCCTGGCCGTGGCACTCAGTGCTCTGGGCTGGGGGACAAGGGGGGCATCGAGCACAGGGGGATCCATGGGCTGGGAGGGCTTTTCCACCCTCAGTGACTCTGGGATCCTGTGAGGTGCTGTGTGTCATAAATGTCATTTATTAGCAGTGACTCAGAGCCTTGCAGGGAGATCTGAGGGTGGTGGAGTGTGACTGGGGTGTGCTGGAAACTCCAAGTGCTGCTCGTAAATGGGAGCCCGGCGAGCGCCGCCAGGGCTTGATTTGGAAAAACTAACGTGGTGGGAGCCTTTATGAGGGAGATCAAACATTTATTGGTCTAGCACCTACCTTCAGGACTGGATTTGGGACGGCTGCAGTCAAAGTGCTTAAAGAATAAGCCAGGTGTGTTTTCTGAGGGGGTTTGTCCCACGCCTGGAGCTCAGCGGGGCGTCCATAAAGCTGTGACCCTCTTGGTACCTCCCAGCCAGCTCAGTGGGCCAGACTGTGGGTCCTTGAGCCCAGATTTTGGGGAGGAGAACAATAAAAGCATCACTTTGATGAGGGAGGGTCAGCTGTGCCCACACTGGGTGACTGGGTGACAATGCTGCTTATATTGAGACTGCAGAGTTAAAACCCATGTGGATGAGGGAGAGATGTTTTCATTTGTTATAATTCATGTACTTAACCAAGGAGCAGCTGGTGGCTTTGTAGCATCTTAGAATTGTGGAATATCCTGAGCTGGAAGGGACACACAAGGACTATCCATTCCAACCCTCAGCCCTGCACAGGACAGCCCCAAGAATCCCCCCCCTGTGCCCCAGGGGATCATCCAAACCCTCCAGGAGCTCTGGCAGCCTTGGGGCTGTGCCCACTGCCCTGGGGAGCCTGGGCAGTGCCCAACCACCCTCTGGGGGAAGAACCTTTTCCTGGGATCCAACCTGAGCCTGCCCTGGCACAGCTCCAGCCATTCCCTGGCTGCTGTCCCTGGTCCCCCCAGAGCAGAGCTCAGTCCTGCCCCTCCTCTGCCATTCCTGAGGGATTTATAACTTCACTGAGGTCTCCCCTCAGTCTCCCCTTCTCCAGCTGAACACTCCAAGTGCCCTCAGCTGCTCCTCAGACAGTTTCCCCTCCAGGCCCTTCCCCGTCCTCGCTGTGATTTCCCCTCTTCCCGCAGCTCCTCATTTATATTTCATGCCCAGTCGTCTGGCTCCATAAACACGGGGTTGGGTGTTCCTGGGTCTGACACCTGCAGTGCTGTGAAATGTGCCTGTGGAGCAGGGAGGATGAGGAGGAGGACGAGGAGGAGGACGAGGAGGAGGGAGCGGGGCCGGGCGAGTCGCGCGGATGCCTCTGGAATTAGGACACCTTTGGAATTAGGACACGGCAAGGGCAGCTGGCAGCTGGTGCCGTCAAGGGCAGGATTTCTAGGAAAGGAACAAAGACAGAGGTGTTTGCTCAGCGGCCACATGTGTTCCCTGGAATCCTGATGCCTCATTCTTGGCTAAGACCTGGAGCCTTGAACGCTCAAAGGCAACGAACAGAATAATCCTTCAAGGAGGTGACATGAAAATGTGCCCAAACCAGCAAAAATCGGGGCTGAAGGCGCCTCATTTGAGACATTTAACATTATTTATGTGATGCACATGTGCTGGTGTGTCACACATTTATTGAGTCAACCCAGTATCACCTCTGATGTCACTTGTCCACTCTAATGCCTTGGGGACAGTCACACTGGAGTGCAGGACACAGCAGCCCTGCTGGGGGAATTATTTCTGATTATGGCTGGAAAATCGCAGGTTTGGGGTTTATTTTGGCTCCCCTACACCTCTTCTGCTGGGCTGGAGTGGTGCCTGCAGCAGTGAGACCTGTAAATGTTTCCCAGTTTGTAACTTGCCTTTAAAAATTCCCTTGGGATGGGAGCTTGGTGTAGGAGAGCCTTTCCTGGTGTTTGCATTTTTAGGTGTCATAAACTGCCAAGTAAATTCCTTCCCCTGTTCCTCAGGTACTTGAGTGCAGAAAAGAGGGATGTGAATAATTTGCATTTCTTAAGAAGTGCTTGGGACTTACCTGCTCCTTCTGGGCGTGCAGAGACCTGGAGTTACTGGGAGGTGCTGGGCAGGGAGGAGAGCTCAGGGAAAATTAGAAGTAGGCTCTGAAGGCTCCAACTTGAGCATCTGATGATGATTCCTGCCTGCCTTCGAAGCAGAGGAGTTTTGTCTGCGAGGAGGGCTCTGCTGACAGCCATTGGAGACAGAAAACCTGGGCCTGGGCCCCGGGCCAGGCTTTTTATCCCTGACTTCATTTATTTTTCTTGGTTTATTCAGCCCTTAATATTATTCCAATGGAGATTTTGTTTCCAGCCCGACATCCCTCAGGGAAGCTCCCATCCAGCCCCATTTCCTCTGTCCTGGGACCAGACCCTGGTGCCCCTGTGGGGTTGATTTGCTCTTAGTTTTTATTTGTGTCCGTTTTAAAGGTGTCACTGGGTTTTATTCCGGGTTTGGGGGGGTTTCATGCCCACATTTGTGTGCTGATGGTGGTTGGATTTTGCTGTGTGGGGGTTTTTTCTGTGGGTGCTTTAGTTCAAAGACTTTGCATTTGCAAAAGAAACTCCCTCTGAACAAATTCCATGTCTTTTTATCCTTATG